AACAAAAAAAGAAATTCGCAGCAGGAAACAGTATGAACAGTCTTCTCTCACTGCTCCACATGGGGATTAGATCAGGGTTTTGCCTCTGCTCCACAAGCAAACACAATTGCAGAGCAGCTGACAAGCAATCGCCGCTCTTGGGTGTCCTCTGGTTTCTCACGCCCATGCCTAAACATTTCAGCCCATCAACACACCCGTGCAGCCAACACCTTCCCCCGGCTGCACGCAGCCAGGGACCCGGGCACCCAGCTGAAATGCAGAAACCCTGACGATGAGAAACCTTCTCCTCCCTTCCGCCAGCGAGCACTGACCTGGGCCGGCTTGCCATGGCATCCTAGCTCACATAGGGAACGACCGATTTTCTAGTGGAGAAAATTGACTTTAGCCCTTCCCGTCCATATCTTTTCCTCCGGATGTGAATGACACTCAACAAGTGATTTACAGGAAGTGTAAAGGTATGTTTTCCCTTTTCCTCTGTGTCCTTACAGTGGCAATATTCAGTGCCTCAGAACTGGTATGAGGACTAGGATATCAGCCTGCTGTAACTCAAACAAAATGAGACACAAATTTCGTCTGAAAGCTTATATGGAAAGCCATAAACACCAGTAGACAGGGCTGGGCTTTGTCCTAGAACCAGCCTGCAACAAAATATGGTATCTGAATCTAACAGCATTTTGTGACACTGTAGGAACATCTAAAGAGAAATACTTCACCTGCTGGCAGGTCAACACCTCGCCTTTTTAATTTGGCACGTCAGCACCACGGCGTCAATCTTACAGTACCCATCAGAAACAGAACACATTTCCAGCTTTCTGGCATGTCACAAAGCAACCAGTAAATCACCTGCTCCTTTAATAAGCACTCTAGCAAGATCAAAAGGAAGCAGAACTTTAGATGAGAACGTGGGTTAGTCCTAATTCTATAACAAAAGAGACCAAGAGTTGAACCAAAGTAAATGGGGCTAAACGAGCATCCGCAGAGCCCTGTGCTATCGCAAAGGCTCAGCACAGTTCCTCAGACCCCAGTGGCATTGCAGGCATTGAAGGGAGACTCATGGAAATAAAATGTAGTTTAACACGACATACTTAGCCTGAATTTCCAAAATAACTGCTACCTTGTAAGGGGGTTTCAGCAGGTGCTTTGCCCCTTTTAAAACACTTATTTGGACTAGCCAAGTACCAAGACCCCAAGAGCAACAGGACAACTTGCAAAACTTCATAGCTGCCATTTTATGCCAAAATCTCTCTTCTCTCCAAAGTTGGGCAATAGCCTCCTCGCCCAGCTCATCCTGCAAACTCTGAGAATGCAGACAGAAAGGAAACACCTCTCTGACGTTTTATAAGAGCAGAGAGGAAGCCACTGTGCCCACAACCAACTGTATGCATCAGATGTCCCTTCCTGGTCCTTACTCTGACCAGTTCAGATCCCAGGCAAAGCTTCCTTTCTGCTGTCTTGATAATTCCTTATTAATCATAGAATTATCCATCACTTTTGGTTTTAATCTCACTTGACCCTGGACTGATGCCAGGAAAAGCAGCACAGGACTGAGACACACACAAAGCCATAGCTGTAGGTCACACCATGCAATAAAAATCTGCTGTTCGTGACACCCAAGATTTCATCCAAGCTACATTTCTTAGATTTCATACATTTTAGTAAGAAGCAAAACTAGCATCCTACTAGAAGGTGGTGTTGGCAGTGGCAGGTCAGCATTAAAACTAATACTTCTATGTTACGTAAGTGAAAAGTCTTTAAAGTTCATAATTTTATAACTAAAACGGAAGATAATTCCTGATGCAACATAAATTCAAATTTCACATCTTGGTCTTCCCTCTAGCTAACTACTTAACAGCAATCCTAAAGTCGAAGGTGTGAGGAACAAGAAGCGTTTAAAATTGCAACTTTTTCGATATCCTTTTTCTCTGAAAACAAACAAGAAAGCCAACCCTGCACCTGTGGAAAAGCTGTGAAAATGTTAAAATTCATCTTTCCTGCAGCATCATCAGAATTGTAGCATGAGATCATACAGTCCCTCCTCTTTTAAAAGAGGAATAATTTCAAGTAATGTGGTGCCAGTAAGTACTGTGATGTTATCCATGACTCACTCAGAGGCAATCAATGGCTTGTCTGTATAGGAGAGAAATCGCCAGCCCTTCCCTCCAGCCCTCGCTAAAGACCGTAAAGACCAAACTACACATGTACATTATTCCACTATGAAAATGGCTCTATTCATAATAATTATTTTGCTCTGGAAATGCAGGCATTATCCTTGAATAAAAACACACTGTATCCCAGAATAGGGTGGCTACACAAGGAAAGCTATTCTGGAACTGATAAATTATAGGAGAATAATTAATTCTGGACCAGCTGTGTAGGTCACTTTCTCTCATATAGGCAAAGGGTAAGATCGACGCTGTTTAAGGGCCCCAGCCATGAGGCTGTGCAAGGTGATTTGCCTGGTTATGGCTGGGGAAACAGACTCTTAATCCCAGCAGCAGGAAAATGAGGAAGATGATTACAGTGTGAAAATCTACCACAAGTTTAGATCTCATTTGAACACTATGAGAAGAATAAGTTTGGGTTGTGCAAGGATTTAAGGATCCTAGATGAACACCTGCCTCATGCTCTCCCTGACTCATTCAAAATTTAATAAAATAAGCATGAAAGGAGGATGTCACTGTTTACTTCTCACATTCAGAGTCCATCCTGTGACTCATCTCCTCAGTTTTACATTAGGGAGGAAAAGTATGAGAAAAACCCTCCGTAGTTCCACTGAGGAATAACTTCCATTCCCTACCACTCAGAAACAGGCCTTACTCCTTTACTACTTGACATAGTTATACAGTTAACCACACTGGCTCAGAAAAAGAAAATATAAAAGCAAACAGTATTTTTAGCTGCAACTGAACAATCTGAAGATAGGACACTGTAAGAAAGAGCTAAGAAGAGTTCTTCTTTAACATTACATTTAAGTCAGACCAGAAGCTGTCAACACATAAAAAAACCATAGCATGAGAAAAGATGATAGGATCCCTTTAAGCTTTTCTCATTCTCTCTTCTTCTTATCCTAGTTTGATGCAAGGATAGAACTTGAATAGAAGCAGAGCTCACAACTAGTTTACAGTCTTGATTACACATCTGTGGAGACAGATTCGCTTTACAAAACTTTGTTAGCCAGGCAGTTTGTTTTGGAAGACAAGAAAAAGGATGCAATTTAAAAACAAACAACAAAAAACTATTTAATCCAAACATCTAAAACTGCAGAGAGGTTAATTAACTTTTGTAAGCTTGGGACAACTGTCTCAATCAAACTCTTGTTACCCAGGCTTCCCTGCAGCTCCATGTCCTGGCCACCCTCCGCAGGAGCCAGACCATCCCATTTTAGATGGTATCTGAGCCCAGCACACGCTCCAGCCTCCCCTTTCAGTAAATCACAGACAAGGGTATCTCCAGAATTCATTCATCCTCTCCTCGACACTTATATCTTAGGGGTG